GGTGGACTGGCTGTGAGCAGTACCTCTAGCATCGCTCCCAGCGGGCTCTCGCTAGCGTCTGAGAATGTGTTTGAGGGTGCTCTGTCCGTGGCTGGTGAGCTGCCGTTCGTGAGTGCTGTGGCTCTGGAGGGCGCGCTGCCCAGTGCTGGTGCTGGCGCCGTCAGCTACAGCTGCGGTAACGGTGTCACTGCTATCGAGAGCATCGCTCCTTCTGCTGCTGCTGCTATTGCTCCTGCGGCAGCAGCTGCAGCTCCTGCTGCTGCTTATGGCGCTGCAGCACGCTATGGTCTCGCTGGCTATGGACTGGGCCCTGCTGGCGTCTCTCCTACCGCTCTCGGACTCGGCTACAAAGGACATGGATGCGGTTGTGTTGTTTAATGACATGTAACGATAGAACCTGTGCGTGGAAACAATTTATTAATAAACTGATATACAATATATTTGTTATTACATATTTATAATATGAAATCTGTGATTCCATTGCTATATGTAGCAAAAACAGCCGAAACTTAAGCACCTCTTCGGATACAGTTTTAATTTTGATAAAGATGTATACAGTTAATGGTGAGGATAATGAAACTCCTTCCACATTCTTTTGCATGTTTTAACAAAATAATACTACACTAACAATCTATTTCTAAAATGCTGATCAAGACAAAGATCTAATAATCGGTTTTAAAAGGGTAGTTTCCTAAATTTTATTTTAATGTCCGTCTGGTACATTAATTTAAAACTTTAGACACGTATTTTTACTTTTCTCACAAAATTAAATACTTTCGATGATATATTAATTTGAAATATCGTGTGACGTCACAACGTGCCACATTTTGTAGCACGTTAAGACGTAACGATCTCCCACTCCTAAACTTAGCACCATTTTATTTGAGTATTGCAACTTAATACGAGAAAATAAAAAAATACGTGTCTAATATTTTTTCATAATCTAACGGGCTAAATAAATTTTTAATTTTGATACCCTGGAAATTACCCAATTCTCGTGTCAAAAGTTGTTTCCGATGATGTAAAAAGCATGTTTGTGTTCGATTTTATTTAAGAACTGCAAGAAGATATTTGGTATTTGGACTAATAACAATTAGTGTTTCCTTGTACGAACCGCTAAAGAGTAGAATTCTGTGCCCTTCGGAAATCACACACATGCTTTCAAGGCCCGAGTGAATAAATTGCTTTAAGGCAGTCGTGCGACATCGTAGGCCGCATCATCGCTTACCACCAGGCGAGATAGTGGGCAAACATAAAACGCGGTCGAGCCAGTGTGAACGGACGCATTCGCTATTCATCGCAATAAAATATTAAATATTTTAACTACATCAAATATTGAACCTAATCACCGATATAATAAATCTCAAAGTTAAATCGGATCGCAAAATTGTGGAAATTTCCACACCATTCGCACTAACCACAGACTCATCAAAGGATAGACAGCCAAGATGTCGGAATCACCAAGCGATAGGGCAAGTTCAGTTCCGGACCTGTCGATGCATATCACAGCTGAGGAATCGAGAATTAATGTCACTCGTCGCAAGCGTGGATATAATGACGAAATATCTCGGGAGTTTGAGGAGTTCACCGATAAGTTAACAACATTACTAAATGAATGGAAAAAGGACTTTAGACAAGATATAATGCAGATAAACGGTACACTGGGGAAAATGAACAAAAACACCCAAGAGTTGAAGACGGAGATTGCCAGCATTAGAAAAGAATATTCGGAAATAAAGAAATCGATACAAAAAATAGAAGATAGACACACGAAAGTGGAGGATCGACTGACGGTGCTTGAGAAGTCAGTGCAATATCACAGTGATCAATACGACGATGTAACTAAGAAGATGGAAAAACAGTCAATAGATATAAAAGACATGGTTCACCTGAAATCTGAGCTGGCCGAAATCAAGACTCAAAACAGAAAACTAAGATCTGATATGAATACAAATGAGCAACGGGATAGACTATTAAACATCGAGATCGTTGGTATACCTGAACGTAAAGAAGAAAATCTAAGTGAAATTATCTTGAACATCGGAAAACTTACGGAAATTAATATTAAACAAGAAGATATAATTCATGTGAATCGAGTAACTCCAAAATTTAAGGCTCAAGGTAGACCACGGAATATTATTGCTAAATTACATACACGCCAGCTCAAGGACAATATTATTTCGCAAGCACGTAAATGCCGTTTATCCACTAAAGATTTAAAAATTGAAGGCAACGACGTCCCGATATTTGTAAATGAACATCTGACGACCACCAACAAGGATATCCTGAAAAAATGTAAGGAAATTGCTAAAATTAAACAATATCAGTTTACATGGACAAAAAACGGGAGAATTTACGTTCGGAAAGCTGTAACTACTCCAGCAGTCTACATTATGGACGAGGAAGATCTAAAGAAAATTGTTTAGTTCCTAGTGGCCATCAAAAAACTATATTATCGGCGATTGTTCATAGTGGTTTTACTCTTGTGTCTTTGCAAGTAATTTTAATCAATATTAAACGAAACGGAGTTGATTTCCGGATGATTGTGTGTGTCCAGTCTAGACTTACTGAGTTCTATGTGCGGTGTTTTTTGTTCGAGCAGTGCGGTCGTCGGCGATCACATTATACAGGTAACGCGCTCCTAAAGAGTGCAATATTTAAAGTACATATTATTTTAATATACACAAACTTTGATCATTTATATATTATGTTTCGGTCTAGACGAGATTTAATTTGCATAGTTATATTATTTAAGTACATATTTTGTAGTTTCTGGACAAAAAAAGTAAACAAAAGGAAATTCTATAGTCAGATATTTTATCGTTGTTTTTCTATTAATTATACAAGGAATTTAAAGGGTTGCTTATTGATTATCAGTTTAATGATTACAAATAGTATACACGCAATTTGGTTCGAGAGTGCGAGCATTGGTGTTGGCGAGGTGTGTGGGTCTGGGGACGCGCATAGATATGGCGCATGTACTGTAATGCACAAAATGAACTATCTATCTACTTTAAGAAAAAAACAAACGTTAACTGCTAATATGCTTTACTTAAATATCCACATCAATTGTTTTCAATTGGTAATCATTCGCATTGTCTTGTTGGGCCACGTTCGCGAATATTATGTAGTGTTTGCTTCTGTAATAATCCGTAGAATAAATAATATTTATTTTCCTTGTACCCACGAGTTACATAAATGCCCCAGGTGTACTGTGCACTATGCCGTTGTTCGATATAGACTAAGTGAAAAATACTCATCACAATGACGCCCAGTAATCTGAATATTTATTACCAGAATTGTCGTGGGTTAAGAACTAAATCAACACAATTCAGACTAAATGTTTTAAGCGATTGTTATGATTTAATTATCGTGACCGAAACTTGGTTGCATGACGGCATTCTTGACAGGGAATTGTGTGATAATAGGTATGATGTTTTCCGTAAAGACCGCGATCTTTCTGCTTCTGGTAAATCTTCAGGGGGTGGCGTGATGATCCTCTCAAAACACGAACTCGGCGCATGGTGCATGGAAATCAAAAACAATACAATCTCCACGGAGCTGTTGTCTATAGTAATACCAGCTCGCTCGTTGTGCGCCGCGGCTGATCTTTGCGTGTGTGTTGTTTATGTGCCCCCAGATGCTCATCGCATTCCCCGCGATGTGGATTGCGTACTGCAGAATATAACAAGTATTCGTAGTACTAAAATATACAATTATTTACTTGTTGGCGACTTCAACCTTCCCTGCATTCAATGGAATTCAAGCGGACCAACATTTCTTCGACAAGGTACTATCGAAATACAGAACGCAGCCGCGCGCTTAGTTAACGATTTGGAGTTTCTGGGTATCAGGCAATATAATGTATTGCGTAATCACAAGGGTCACACTCTTGATCTAGCCTTCTCCAACTTACCTTTGGAAATAAAGGAGTGCTCGTTACCTCTCACAAAGGTTGACCTTCCACATCCAGTGTTAAGTATTGTGATTTCTGATTTAGCAGTTTCATTTCTATATGAGTTATCAGTCCCTAGATATAATTATCGTAAAGCCGACTATACTAACTTAAATAATTTCTTCTCTAATATTAACTGGTCATCAGTTTTGAACACTTTTAAAACTAATGATTCCGTTCATAATTTTTATGAAACCGTTCAAGCGGGTATCGATAAATATGTGCCTATTAACCGAAAAATAAGCTCGCGTCAATATCCTCATTGGTATAGTAGTTCACTCATAAGAATAATTAAGGAAAAAAGTAAGGCTCATTCGCGCTGGAAGCGTTTTGGAAATCTACTAGACTACGACGAATTTGTTATGTTACGGGCGCGACAGCGGCGAGTTCAGAGAATTTGCTTTAGTGAGTATATGCAAAAGACCGAACAAGCTGTGATAAAGAATCCTAAAATGTTTTGGACCTATATCAAAAGTATGCGTGGAGGCTCAAATTACCCAAAAATAATGTCTCATAATAATGTAAATTATACTGAGGGACATGAAATCACACAAGCTTTCAATGAATTTTTCCATGGTGTATTTAGCAAAGCGACTGATTGTAGTTCTCCGATTATTTTTAAAGAGAACGAAGATTGTTCGAACATAATTTGTGATTTACAATTTACCTCGTCTAGAGTGGAGGGGGCGTTGAGGGGGTTAAGCGTTGATAAAGGACCTGGTTGTGACGGAGTGCCTCCACTATTCTGGAAACACTGTTCAAAAACGTTAGCACTACCGATTAGCTCAATATTTAATACATCATTAAAAGAAGGTGTTTTTCCTGAGGAATGGAAAAAGGCACACATTGTTCCAATACATAAAAAGGGCTCGCGAACGGTTATTGAGAATTATAGGGGTATTTCTATACTTAACACCTTGGGCAAAGTATTTGAGAAGCTGGTTTATAAAGCAATTTATCCCTATATACTCAGAGGCATATCTGACAAGCAGCACGGTTTCTTAAAAAGGCGATCCACTGTCTCGAACTTAGCAAGTTTCTCAAATTTTGTCCTTAAGAACACAGACGGAGGAGGACAGGTGGATGTTATCTATACGGATTTTGAAAAAGCCTTCGATCGTGTAGATCATGATATACTGCTGAGCAAATTGTATAGACTGGGCATAAGGGGGGACCTTTTAAGGTGGGTTCAATCATATTTATTTAAAAGGTCGCAAGCTGTGGTGATGGGTGGGTACCGTTCAAACTTTGTCGATATACCTAGTGGCGTGCCACAGGGTTCTCACTTGGGGCCTCTTTTCTACAACGCGTATTTGTTCGATATTGCTGACTGCTTTAGGAGTTCCGAACATTTAATGTATGCAGACGACAAGAAAATTTTCTATAAAATAAGGTCAATTGATGATTGTAGTGCGCTTCAGGA